CTCAGAGTTAAGAGCAATGACTGCTCTTCCAGAGGTCCTGAGTTCAATTCCCAGCACCCACATGGTGGCTCACAACCATCTATAATGAGATCTGGTGTTTTCTTCTGTATGCATAATAAATAAATCTTTTTTTTTTTAAAGAATTCTTAGAAAAAGTAGAATCATGACTCCTATGAAAAGATGAAAACATGTTAAAAGCAACTTAACTAGTAAGATAGGAAACAACCAGCAGAAAAGTCTGTTACCATGGGAGAAAAAAATATGTATCAGAAAGATAAAACTGTCACTTTCCTGTGGTATGGAATTTGGGAAAGAAACGTAGTATGTTATTACCATAATTCTACAATTGAGAGAATTTGAAGATGCCTCAGAGATGGTGTACCAGGTTAGATTCTGAGAAATCGTTATGGTGTACCCTTGAGGATGCATGGCCTGTCACCAAAACAGATTTCTTGCTATGATGGCAATAAATGTCTCAAGTTTGTTAGAAACATTTCTAGGTCTGGATGACCAGTGAATAGGAAATCCAGACTTGGCAGCTAGGTTTGGTGCAGAACTACAGGAAATCACTCAATAGGCTTTTGAAGTTGCTTTGGGAACTGTCATTTAACCCCAGTCAGCTGAGGCAGCATCAAACAGGCAAAAGGAGGGTCTTTTTGACTCTGCATAAGAATCACAGTATTAACTGTGTCTCTACCATTTGAACAGCTAGTATCTTCAATAAAGGTGTAACTTCCCTGATACTCAGTTTCTTCTTGTACTATACAGTCCAGCACCCCCACTACTTGGTACCTCTCAAAGGAAATGAATTCATTATGTTGAGGACGTATCTGCACTCTGATGTTTTGCTGTATTAGTCACAATGGCTAGTCAGTGAATGAGTGGGTAAAGAAAATGCACATATACATGATGAAATACTGTATTTCACACCAAACACAGCCTTTCAAAGAGGCAAGTCCTTTTATATGCAGCGTTGTGGGTGAACCTGGAGGACATTATACTAGTGAAATAAGCCCAATGCAGAAAGTCAAGCACTCATCTCACTCTAGAATCTAGAGCGTTCAGCTCAGAACTACAATATAAGTTATCCTCTGACCTCCACTCCCCATGATGCGGCATTCACCCCCCCACACACACACACAAACACAAATAATTTTCTTAGAAAAAGAGAAATGCCTGTCCCATTTTCTCTTCAGTATTTCTTGAATGAGTTGGGCAAATCCCCTCTACCTACCTATCTGCCCAACAGGAACTCCTCAGAATCCACGCTTCTGGGTGTGTGACACGCTAGGAATGCTGTGGGAAGACAGTGGTGAAAAGAGA